AACTGAAGCAGAAGAGCTAAGCAGAAACTGAGGCGATCCGAGACCGTACAACACATTTTTAATGAATTTTAAAGTTGTTGTCTCGTTAATTTTCTCCTTCTCTTCTTTCGTTCATTATTATAGGAATGGATTAGTAAATCTATGTATATTTTGGTTAATTTCTAGCTAAAGTCTATGGTAAAAGCTTAAATTTAAATATATTTTGACGAAAAAGTCCTTCTATAGGAATAAAAAAGTTGCCAGAATTGTTAATTGTTTTAACTTTAAAAAAGTATTATAAATATTACTAAGACTTCATTGAAGAAGTTTGTATAGCTCTTTGATAAATATTTTATTTTGGAAGACATACACTTTTAATTTTTGTTTATCCCTTTTCCTTGCTATTTATTTCAATTGTATTTCCTTTGTCTTTGCCTCCCTTTCAATTGCCTCCAAATAAAAAAAGGACAAAAATTCGCAGGAAAGGAGAGATGTTGGAGCTTCACTTTGGGGCAGTCAGTGGGATGTGGGTGGTGGGTGGTGCTGGGTGGGCGGTGCTGCAATCTGCCGCAGATGCCGAGCGCCGCTGACTGGCGGTGAGCACGTGTTCGCCTTTGGCTCCTGCTGAGCAACAAATGCCGACGAGCCGAGCGATTTTCGCCGATTCCGATTCCGATTTCGATGCCGATGCTTCGGTCGCTGTCTGCGTCGACGTCGCTGCTGCTGCCTCTGCTTCTGCCGGCGTCGACGCTGCCTGTTGAAAACTTCGAAAATTCAGCAGCAGCGCCATTGGAAATTCGAAAATAAGGAAAAGCTCACGTGAAATGCTTTAAGGCTTTCGCAGCTTGGAAAAAGCTTTGGTTTCCTTAAAGTTTTTTCACATTTTCAAGTTTAAATGGAAAGCCAATTCTCGAACCAGAATCGGAAAATAAAACCGCAACCGATTCAAGCTTATAACCGTAAGTTTAACGGTCACCATTACCGATATGAACCGATACGGATTCAAGAATCGTATTTCCTGATAAAAATTAAAAAAAAAAACTATGATAGTAATTTAGGATGACTAATCTTAAATAATATTTAAATTTGCATTAGAAATTCCAAGTAAGAATCCTAGAGATTATATCCAAATCGTACAAGTCTCCTTTTATGTCGTCATTAACTAGTAATTGACCTTTTTTGGCAAGCTCATTGACGTCACCAAGTGAAAAAGTGAAAAAGCTTCACCTCGATCTACGACAACCTTAAAAATGTGAACATGCGATGGTTATGCGTGTGGTGAAAAGCGTCACTCTTGCCCCAAAGTCACGTTTTTAGCCTTTTATCCTTTTAGCCTCCATTGTGTCAATGTCCTTTTCAGCCAGCGGAAACGCAGCGAAATAGGAGTAAACGGCTGAGAACCGAATGAGAAAGGAGTGATGCCAAAAGGAGGTCACGGGGTCACTGCGGCTGTGACGTCAGTGCCTGACCACCCATAGTAAAATACTGAGAAAAATAAAACTGTTAATTGTTAAGAATTAAATTATAAGAATATTATATTTAAATCGTTAGTTATTTTAGCTTTATAAATAATTTATAGCAATTTACTAATGACTTAATATTACTTTTCTCATTGCAGGTGAGTAAAAGCCATCAAATATATGAATTTACCCTATTATAAGTCGAACTTGGCCAAGCAAAGGATTTGGATGTGAAAGCCCACTAACACCCTTCAACTGATTAGCCCAAAAGGTCAAATATACTTTCCTGTTAACCATATATCACTGAATCTTTCATACTTGAACTTTGTTTAGTTCGTTTTCCATCACTAAACTCATCAATCAGTTCGTCAATCATTTAAATACGTTTTACATCGATTGAACAAACATTTGCTGCGAATATAGAAAGGCAGCTAAATGCCGAAAATTCGTAATAAAAAACAATGAGAATGGGGCTTATACACTTGGCACATGATGATCCGTTCGGATGATCCATTCATGCCGATCCATCATCGGCGCTGCCTCAACATTCTCCACCCACTCCACCCGCCACCCACTTACCACCCCCTGGTTTTCCCCGATTTTCCTCGATTTTCTTGTTACTCACGCAAAACGTTTTTCGTGCGAACATCAACGGCAATCAATCGGCAAATGAAAGGCAATGCCAGGAATTGGGAATTGTGAAAATGAAAATGAAAATGCATTAAGATGTTTCGCTCTCGCGGAAAATCACCCCAAACCACCCACTTGGCATTTAAATATATGGAGCAGGGTATAAGAGCTATGATCAAATATGAGATACTCTACTTATTTTATATATTTCTGCCAAATATTTCCTGTTCCCAAAGAAAATATGATTTTGTTGACTTTTGAAGGGATTTATATTGATTCGTTTGAGTTAGGATCTTAGTCTAAGAAATAATAACTATTTTAAAAGTAAATAAATGAAAAGAATTTAGTTTTAGTAATCTTTGAAGGTAATTATATTGATTCGTTTTAGTCAGGATCTCATTATAAGAAAATAATAAGAAATAATTAATACCTTGATTTGTTAAGTTAGGATCTCAGTATAAAGAAATTATATTAAATAATTATTATATTGATTTGTTGAGTTAGGATCTCATTATAAAGAAGGGTACTCTGATCTTCGATTCCCCGATTGCTGACCTTGCCTTTGGTTAGACATCGATCGGGTTGGCTTCATAGTTTTTATGTTGCCGTTTTTCATGGGTTTTCTTTTTAAACAAATAAAGAGGCGCATTAAAAAAGATATTGTCGACAATTGACGAAAACAGGCAACATGCTCGACGGCTCTTTACGCAATCCTCGTTTTTCGCCTCTTGCGAGTGAAATGGAAATGAAAATGAAAAACGAGCGAAGGTCGCCGCGTGTGCGAGTGTTTATGTTGTTAATCTAGAGACTCTATAAAAACGCATCTATAAGTGTAACAATATTGTTTTCTGCCCCATTCATTCGCATCTGAGTATCTGCGAATCTCTTTTGGCTGCTGTTTTCCATCCGCCGATTGCTGAATGCAAATATTTGTGATTAATTGAAATTGTGCAGGAACTGCACTTTGCATTTTCATTTGCGTCGATTCCCGAAAAACGGAAGATGAAAATCCATGGCAAATCGTGCATGCCGTGCCATCTTGTTATCATCATCATCATCGTCGTCGGGAAAACGCTTCCCATTTTCCCATTTGGGCCTGTTGCCATCGATTTTCAGCTGCATGTCATTTGTGTAATCGATATTCTGCCTCAAACATGCCTTGTTTGTTTTTGGTTTGTTTTTTGTTTTGTCAAATACTTGGATGGGTTTCGATGCCGTGATTTGTGTTTGTACCGCCCCTTCCACCCACTTGTTGCTCATCGAATCATTCGAGGATTCGAGCCATTTTGGACCAAGGCCGAGGGCAGGCATCCATATTCCATTTTCCCTCTCCCACCTCCCCTCGAAAATCATCAAATGCAATTCGAGAATGGTTCACAAGGCTCTTGGCCATGGCACTAAGTGATTGGTTAACGATTTCGTTAAATACTTCGTTTATACGCAAAGGGCTCTCAAGGTTTTGGAGAAAACAAAACTTATATAGAAAATATAGGATGTGAAATACAGGTATTAATTTTCACTAAAAATAAATTAAATTAATGTAAAACGTAAAAATCTAAATTATTCTTTTCTGGCAATTCGCATATTTTGCCCCCGCATAAACGCATTTTCCGACTGCTATTTCTTTGGGTCGTTGCTGGCCGTTGACGTTGCAAACAATTTGCGTGAAAAACACTTTCCACACACACACACACTGCCAGATAGACAGTTTGAAGCCCACTCACCCACACTCACTTTTCGGACGAACATTCGCATTTTAAATTGCTACAGTAAATATTATCGCTTAGGTGACGTATTATTTTGATTCAGAAAACACCTCACATGTGAATTTATGGTCGTTTTGAATATAATTTACTTTCCATTAACAAGATGCTTTATAATTGGCTGACAATTTTTATAAGAAATTTGGAGATGGACGATTGATGTTAACTGGATAGAACATGGTATTACTTAGGTGGTCAAAAATTTGGTTTATTATTTTGAGGAATTTTTAGATGGTTCTAAAAGATTATTAGATTATTATAAATAATAAAATAAATAAGTAATAATTTGTGTTAAATATTTAAAAAATGTTAAATGCCATCCTATAGCCACTGTATGAACATCGGTATATAGACTGGATTTTCCCCGTGCTGCCGGCGTCGCTGCCTCTGCTGGCGCCTGGCGCGACTGCGACGCCGGCAGAATTTTGAGGCCTGCGAGCAGAGCGATCTTCAGTACCGCGCACGCCGGTGATCGCTTCGCACTTGTTTTTGGCCAAAACAAAAAACACAAAGAACAACAAAATAATAATAATAAAAATACGGGATAAAAATAAAAAAGGACAGCGGGTAAAATCCTACAATTGTGCCATTTTTTTTGCCAGTGCATTTGATGATCGTGTTGTGAAAAACTGATAAATCCGAAAATCAACGTCGAATTTCTCGATTCTTGATTCCCATGTGAATAGTGTCGCGTTGGTCGTTTCTGTTGTCATTCTCGTTGATGACGTTGTCAATCTGCCCTTGTCCCCCCCTCTCGCTCTCGCTCTCCCCTCTCCCTCTAACAATCTCGGCCCCTCTCTTTCTTTAGCCCAAAATTATATGTAAAATTCTTGAGTTTTTTGTGAGTGCTATTTTTTTGTTGTTGTTTCAATGTTGTTTCTTTTTTGTTGTTATTATTTGTGTGTGCCGAGCGGCACGGTGAAAATGTGAAAAATGTGTGCGACAACTGTGGCCCCGCCCCCTCAGCCTCAGCCGCCCCCTCTGCCTGCGTCGACGCCGGCGCCGACGTCGCTGTCGGCTGCGTGGAAAAGAAAAGAAAAAAAAAAAGTGAAAAATAAATGAAAATGAAAATTGTTTCGTTTCGTTTCATTTCTTTTGTCATTTGAATATAAATAAGTATATATCTAGACGTCTGTCTATTTGTCTCCCCTCGCATATATATGGATATATGTACATATATCGGCTGATCTATATACGATCCGTACAGTCTTAAGTGTTTCCCGACGCAAGGAAAGCCGAAGAAAAACCGAATCGGTCGGAATTGGAAAAGCAATTAAAAGCCAAGAATCCAAGGAAAGTAGGGAGAAGGAGGAGGAGGTCAAAGTGCAACTGTGCAGAGCGAGAAAAAGTGGAGTAGGTCGATGAATGGATCGCCTGCATGGCCCACATCACGACGACGCACGGCAGCTTAAGCCAAGCGCCAAGGTAAGCGTTCCCGTTACCGTTACCGTTACCGTACCGCCTCTGCCGCCGTACCGCCGCTGCTTCAGTCGCCGTCGCTGCCTCAGTCGCCGTCGCTGCCGCCGCCTCTGCCCGCGTCGCTCTTCTATAAGATTTATAAGATCTTTGGATCTATGATTTAAAACTCAACGGGGATAGTGTCTTTACTACCTCGAGATCTATCCAAAGATTATTATAAACATGACAGGATTTTAATGATAGTAAAATGTTTTAGACTCAGGGGATGCCTTAAAATAAAATCTTAAAAATATATTTCTACTACATTCGTATCATAACCGGTATATAAAATCAATTTTCTTTAAAATTCTTTACAAATAAAAAAAGGGAAGTAGCTAAATTCACTTAGAAGGGATTGATATAAAAGTAATTATAAAATAAAATATGTTAAAGAGAAAGAATATAATTTTTAAAATCACAGTAATATAAAAGATATCGTTTAATAGCTTTTTAATATCCACGGATAACAAGTTTATATTTATTAGAGACATTTTTTAAACTCTTTTACTTTTGTGGCTAAAATCTCCTTTTTATTTTTTTAATTATTTAAAAAAAATACAAAACGTTTTATTGTTTCAGTGCTTTCAGTTCGAAAATATAAATAATTAAAACAAGTGTGTTTTCTAATTGAGCAAAAGCCCTTAGTCAGTGTGTTTTTGGGATTATTAAGTATTCAGTCCCCAGTTGTTGTTTCCCCAATATATTTTAGACCATTTCGTTTTTGTTTGCCACGCGATTTTGGACTTTCATTTTCTTTCTCTATTTTCTATTTTCTTTTTTTGTATTTTGTATTTTACTCTGCACGCGCTTCGGCTAAATCATTTCTTTTTCCATTCTGCATTTAAATTTGGTTTTATTATTTTCTAAATATTTACTTTGGAGCGAGCATTTAGCGTTTACGACTTTTGGGGCCTGTACAAAATGAACACGGGATTTTCGCAGGTGCCAACGGGGCAACGTTTGAATTATGATCTGTGGCATCAAGCCCCCAAAATAGTTGAACAGATGATCATTATCCACGGTCATGTAATCTCTTTGGAACCAAATTCCTAACTATTTAGGTTTTCTGTGTCTCTGTGTTTTATGTTATATTTTTTCAGTTTTTTTTTGCTTTTTGCTGTCATCGATTGGCTAATTAACGTGGTCCAAAAGCGCATATGCCATGCATTTGTGTTCACTCAAGAAGCGAAAGGGACAGACTAAGTGCGAGTGAGTGAGAGACAGGTGATGATTATTAAGACGAAGGGTCAACCTTGGCGGCGACTTAAAATGCGCTAACAAGCGGACTCCCATGTCTCCCGGGTCTTAGCTCACCTGCCCCGCTTCCCTCTCTCGGTTAACCATAATTTCTCTCTCGCTAACCTCTCTTTGTTTACTCTCCGCCTGCAAAAAAACACTCTCTTTGTCCACTTTTCTCTGCGGCAATTTCTACTTTGTTTAAAGCCAAGGCTCAAGTCGGTTGAAAATTAAATTAGAAAGCATGACTGGAGGCCTGGTTGTAAAAACAGCCCTCTAAATACACTCTCTAAATGATCGGTTAAAATAAAAAGTTTTTATTTAACCTCCAGTTAGAATTTTTGCCAATAAACAAAGGTTTTCTGATTGCAAAACTTAATTTAACTCGAAAATAATATTAAGTAAGAGCATTTGAGAGCAAATATTTAGTTGTTTTACAAATATCTAATAGTTAAATTTAACCGAAGGTTATAAAATTTTTCACAAATAGAGACTCCCCGTGGGAAAGGGTGGCCCCCGTCGATCGTCGGTGTCTTTGTGGACCACCAAGTCGACCTGCAACCACCCAACCTCCCAACCACCCACTGTCGCTGTGGCTGTGTCAACCCGCCACGCGGTTGCACTTTCTAGTGGCGCGCGCGCCCGTTCACATCGCTCCCTCATAAATCATAAAAAAAAAGAAACCGTGGATTTCGTGCGTCGCGTGGGTGCCCCAAAAAATCCACAAAACTGGTGTCTGGAATTATGCATGCGGCGCCCCACGTGCGCTCGCCAGCAGAGATGCGTCACAAGAAGAAGAGGTAGTGAGCTCTCCAGTCTCCAAATCTTCAGTTTGGAAGATTGAAAAAAAATCCGAAATTCCAAATTCCAAAATTCCGATTCCAAAACTCTTTTGAACGGCTCGTTGCATTTGATTTGCTAATTTTTTCTGAATATTTTTTTCAATGTGTGTGCATGTGGCTTGTGTGTGAATTCGGAATGATCCGCACATCGGATGATCGGAATGGAAACAGGCAAAAGCAGTTTGTCATGCAGGATAATTTTAAAATGATGTAAATATGTGACACGACCCGTAGTACATACCAAAAACCTAAAGACTGCTCAACTTTGGATTAGAATTGGATAAGTAAGGAATCATCGCTAGCATTGTAATGCCCATAGGATTTATTAAAGGAATTTCGCCCACTTAGTGAGTTTGTTGCTATTGTAATATTATATTAGTAGTTTTTAGTTTTTTTTCAATATGTAAAATAATAATTAAATCTAATTTTATTAAACCGTTCCTTATTGTTATTACACAGAAAAAAAAATTCGATGTGAAATAGGGTATATTTTACCTTATATCATATCAAAATGATATGAGTAACTTGACTTTTAATGTGATCAATGTGATCTTTTGTACATTTTTTTTCCGTGTAGGAAAATATGTTTTATTTTCGCCTACTTTATGATAATTTTATGAAAAAACCGCTGGATGTATATATTTTTCTCCTGATTTTGAAGCCAGTTCCAAGTTGGCAGTTGAAGTGGCAAAGCGGATATGTTAGACGGCACGAAACAATCCCATCAAGCTCCCTCTTCTTTTTTTTCCCCTTTTGATTGCCACAACCTTGACGTGAAGCGGAAATATTTGCCCAGCACTTTTCGCCTTTGGTTTTTCTTTGTTCGGTTTCCATTTTCCGTTTGCAGCGTTTTGTGTTTTGTTTTCACGAAAATTTTTTAATTGATTTGCCTTTGTTTTGTTGTCGTTGTCGTTGTCGCCTTCACCGTGGCCATGACCAGTTAGCCGCAAAAACAACCTCCTCCTCTTCTCCTCAGTTCACCCCATTTCACATCATTTCACCGACTTTCTTTCTGGTTTTTTTTTTTTTTGATTTTCTTGATTTTTTTCCTTACGAAGCACACACGCAGTGAGGAGCGAGCGGAGAAAAGGCCATAAATTTTGTTATTTTTAGCATGCAAATCGTTTTGTCAGCCTTCGAGGCAAATGACTTGGTCGAGGGGTGCCTTCATCTTCATCTTCCTATCCGTCCGACTTCCAGCTGGGCAAGATCCCCCTGTCCCCGATCCCCCAGCTTCATCATCTTCTATGCAAAATCCATGCAATCCGCTGCACTCGTGGCTGAATGTTGAATTTATTTGTTTGTCTCCTCCGAAAAACCTTTGTCTCGGTGAGCTCTGGCAAACATTTGATCAATAATATTTTGGAGTAGCCCCCGAACCCCGAACCCCCGTAACCCCCACCGAAAAACGCTCGTTCGCCATTCGCCTCACGTGCCGTGACTGCTTATTAGCCATGAAGGTTGCCGGCGCCAGCTGAGTTGAGTTAAGTTGGGCTCACAGGCGGAGAAAAAATTGCATCGATTTCAAAATCTACTTTTTATTAAAATATTTTTGTAGGTTAATAAAAATTTTTTTTTTATTTCGTAATTTTCAAGTTGTAAACCTGATTAAATTTTATTAAAATCTAAACAAATTTATTTAAAATCCTTTGGTTTTCAAAATAATAGTTAAATAATTTTAAAACAATAATAAAAAAAAATAATTTATTGTTTTTCGAATAATTGTGCTGTTTTGGAAATTATTTTTGAAGAAACTGATTTATTGTGCTCGGTTTTTTGGCTCAGTGCTGGCTTGGTTTGGTTCAGCTTTTGCCACATGGTCCCCGAGCATGCAACCCCTCCGCCCAACCTCTGCTGCTGGTGGCCCACCAGGCCAGGGCAATTTGCATGGCAACAAAAGCGGCAGTGAATGTGAAATGTGAATGTGAAATGGGAAATGTGAAAGGCGCAGAGAGCCGGCCATGATCCATGGTCCAACATTGCGTATGCGTCATATGCTCAATGTTGCTGGCTTTGCCTTTGCCGACAAATTGCAATTGCACATGCAATTCAATTCAATTCACTACCATTGCATTCCATTTCCAGCACCCGGCAACAATTGTCCTTCGTCCTTGCCACAAAATGGGGGAAAATGATATTGGAATTTAAATTCGAATTTGATTCGGAATATGAATGGCTGCTTGGGTTTTACGAGCCATAAGTTGCCATTGCCATACGTGTTTTTCCGCTGAATTCATGAAAGAAATTAGGCAAATGATAATGCAAATGGGAAAAGACCAACTGATGGACTTTTATGGCCATACCTTTGATTTGTTTAATTTTAAGAAATGAAAATGGATGGCTGTGAATTGAATTTTTTCTTCTGGTCGAGGCCATGTTGGTAATAACTTAACAGTATGCTGCTGTTTTTACACTCTTCCAAATAAAAAAATAGTAATAATAAATCTTTATAATAATCTTTCAACTTTTTAATTAATTTAGGGAGTTATATTTTTGATTTGAAACAAAGAAAAGACATTGATTCTATAAAATGTTAAACTATTGAAACAAAAATATAATAATTTTGAATGAATTAAACACAACATTTAAATAAAATTTAAATTTTTTAACACTAAATATTATTAATTTTTATTTATTAAATAGCATTTGATTAAATTAATAATTATGCAATTGCCTTTATGGTAGAGTTAGCCTTGATTTTGCACCGTGCATTGTTGCTGCTGCTGCACACACATTAACATTAATCGTCATGCGAACGCACACATACTCACACACCAACACACACACACGGCACTCACACAGCGAAGGAGTTACGAAACCGAGGGACCAGCAAACGAGCAAAACAAACTACGAAAATGACGAACGCGACAACGACAACGACAACACAACGACAACACAGCGACAACGACGACGACGCCGACGACACGAAGCCGAATTGAAATGTTGCCCTCGGCTGTCAGACACACACACTCACTCACACACACACAGTCGCTTTCGCACATTTACGGGCAAAATAATAGGCACTAAGATAAGAGCAGCGGCATTAACATATTTTAAGTTTTTCAAATGAAAACCTAAAAAGTGAAGTTTGGACTGATAAATGAGTAAGAATCGATTGAATTTTCGCCTAGTAAATGAATGAAATTTAAGTGCATTTTGGCCTCATAAATAAGTTAAAGTCCAATAGCTTTTGGTTAAATTAATGAAAAGGGAGTATTAATCTTAAAGTTATAATGAAGCAAATAATGCAATTTTTATATAAATATAAATAAAAGTTTTGAAACCTATTTTTTAAGTAAACTATGATTGATTATGATCATAAAAAAATTCAAATTATATTAAAGTATAAATATTAAAAGCATTAAAAATATTTAAAAAAAGGGACCTAAAAGGGCAATACTAATATTATTGAATTTGGCAAAAAATTATAATATTATTAATAAAATAAAAGAAAATTAAGCTAATAAAAGACCCGCAAAACTGTGCTATGATTTTGCCCACAATTGTTTGCTATCCACTCGTAACTCGAAGTTCGCGAGCTTTGGCCTTTGTTGTTCTTGTGAGTTGAGTTAAAGTCGGGCTGCCATGTGTGCATATGTGTGTGTGTATTTTTGAGTGTGTGTGTGTGTGTGTTACCACCATCTGCAGCATTTAGTTAAGTTAAGCAATGAAGTGAACCCAACTGAACCGAAACTGGCCGAAATTGAAACGACGACAACAGCGATGAGGAATCGTTGCCATGCCTATACTATATAGGATATGGGATATAGGATATATATTGTGTGTGTGTGTGAGCGGTTCAAGTGGTGCTGCTGGCTTAGATTTCTGTTCCTCATTTTTGTTATTTTTTTTTTGGAATTTTTTTGGTGCCGTTTCTGGGTTTTTGGCGAGGATATAGAATAGTTTGTCCCGGCCAGCCAGCCAGGAAGCCAGTTAACAGGGCTCTCTCACTCATTCGCTCTCTCTCGCTCTTTTCGGTTGTGTGTGTGTGCGTGTGGGGCAACTTCGTTGTTGCTAGTGGCATGGCCACTGCTGCCACTTCTGCCACTGCCACTGCCACTGAAACTGCTGCTGCTGTTGGCTTTTGGCATTGTCAACAACGCGGCACAAAGTTCATACAATTGTGACACGCGGCGCGTTAAGCACGTGGCTCTGACTGATAAGAAAACAGAGTTAGGATCCAGGAAATAAAATAAAAAAAATAAAATAAATAAATCAAAAATATTAAAGGAATTTTTTAAACAATTTTTTGAAAGTGTTTCGAGTGTTTCAAGTGATAAGCTAAACTGTTTTTTGCATTGTGATAGAGATAGATAAGCTGCAATGACCTCCTGACCCGCCGTCTGTGTCACAGTGATTTTTGTTCGAGTGTCGCGTGAGAAAAGTGCGTGGAAAAGTCAAGTCGATTAGGCGATTAGCTAACGTCTGGCCATAACCATTTACCAGTTTTCGAGTTTACCAGTCACCAGCAACCGGAGCAGTGCATTCAACTCCATTTGGATGCAGTCCAAAGGAAATAAATGCAGGAGGAGGGGTCCTTAAGGAAGTTTAGGCCAACCATTTAGCATGATTGCAAAACTGCAATTGCAAAACAAGAAAACTTACAAAAAAAAACAATAACAACCGTTTAAATACACGTTTAATTCAGGCAAACTAATTACGGCACCTTAAAAACAATTTATAAAGCAATAAAAAATAAATTAATTAAATACAAATTAGAGAACAACCCACAAAAGTTAAAAATAAATCAAGCATTAAAACACGTAAACTGTCATAAATTAAAGTTATTATTTAATTAATTAATGTGCATAAAGTATTATGAACAATATAAACTTAAGAAAAGCATACGTTTGTGATACTAAACCAATAAACCAAAACAGTGTTCGCTCATTAATGTGTTAAACTTAAATAAAATTATTTAAAGACATTCTAGAACACAAAGAATTTAAAACCCTTAAAATATCTAATAAAAAACAAAAAATTAAATTAAATTAAAAACCATTAAAATTGCTAAATAGTTAAATATGTTTTATAAACATTAAATTGAAAGGCTTAAAAATCGACGAAAAATCACAGCAATGAGCAGCAACAATGGCAACGATCAGTCGCAAGCACCACCGGCAACAGCAACATATGTTGCAGCTGCAGCAGCAACAACTACTGCCCATCAGGAGGCCAATGCAGCTGCAGCAGCAGCAGCAGGATCAGGATCAGGATCACAGGTTTCGCGACCTGCAACAGCACCAGCTCGCTCCAGCAACAACAACAACAACGGCAGCAGCAGCAACACCAGCTTTTACACTGTCAATCTGAGCAACACGGACGGCAGCAACAACAACACCAGCAGCAGCAGCAGCAGCAGCAATGCGAAGCAGGCCAGCAACAACAATCACAATGAGAGCAGCACTTTGGTGGTCAACACCAGCAATACGGCTGCAACAGCAACGGCAACATCGGCTACCAACAACAACCACATCTATGTGAATCCGCACAGCTACGACAGCAGCACCACCGGCAGCGCCAGTGGCTCCACGGCGGTGATGTTGCCACTGCCACTCACTTTGCCGCTGCAACACCTGCCACAGCAACACCTGCAGCCGGCAGCAGCAACAGCAGCAGCAACACTCGAGCAGCAGCAACACCCTCTGGGCAGCAGCAACACGGGTGCCATCAGTCGCATTGGCACCTCCACATCCACCACCCTGAGCACCCTGAACACATATCTCTTTCCCTGCGGCGCCGATTCCGCGAGCAGCTGCGATTTGGACAGCAATTTCAGCCAGATGCTCGGCGGAGGAAGCGAAGGCAGCCAGGCAACGGCACCCGCGGGATCTGGATCCCAGTCGGGATTGGGACTGGGATCGGGATTGGGCGTCCAGTTGGGACTGGGCTTCATCAACAGCCGACGGCGCATTCGGCGGCTCTTTGGCGTGGCAGTGGGAAATGGTGAGATGGTGCCGCCCGCTTTGGCCGCCACGCCCACACCCTATGCCGCCGCCCTGCGGCGACGCAGCTCGCAGCAGGTGTTGCAGGTGCAGCAGATGAGCAAGAAGCGGGAAAAGGAGCTGGAGGACATGGAGCAGCAGCAGCGAATCGCAACGGTGGCCTCGGCAAATGCCGCTTTTCTCGAGCGACGCGAGCAGCAGCAGCAGCAGCAGCAGCAACATTTGCAGTTTGCCTTTAATCCCCTGCAATTGGAGGCTGGGAAAAAGAAGAAAAAGAAGCCACCTGGACCGCCTGCACACACGAGACAGCAATCGTCGCGAACCATGGACGATCCCATGATGAATCGGCCCAGGAAAAATACACCGGCGGTCAGCAAGAAGAAGGAAAAGGGACCCGAGAACCCCTATGAGAAGTACCCATCACCAAAAATCCAAATCCAAAAGCACCCACCGCTCTTAAGCCTCACCAAAAAAATAATTAAATTAAATTAAGAGAGAACAAATATATTTAATTAAATATTATGCAGCAAAACAAGATGCTTATCTTTGAATTTGATTTACGCGCTGCCATTTTGTTTGATTTACTCGCTTGTAACGATTTGAATAAAATGATTAAGAAATATATATCTTTAAAATTTTTGAGTACCGCTTTGCTTTATCGCTTCTCAACGCTTTTTCGCCTTGTTGACATTCTACTTTGCACCCAAAGTTGCAAATTTTATCTTATGCCCATGTGACACTGGCTAAAAATACAGGATATTTCTGAATATTATTCTGTATATTTTTTAAAAAATATTATTAAACAGCCATTAAAACGTATTGAGTTATAATATAAAGATTTTATTGGTAGAAGCTTTAATTGTAGTTTAACATATTCAAGAATATATTACAGGTTTTTTGTTATTTATCACAATTATTAATTAGGTAAACATAAACATAGGTCACATAAAAAATGTAAATGATTTGGATACATTTATTTATTTCCATTAATTCACATTAAAATCTAAAACTAATTCGCTGTAATTTTCGGCAATTTTTATTTTAGCTTTTTTAAATTAAAAAAAAGTTTTAAATAATTTACATTTTATTATTAATATTTACAAAATGTTAACTTAATTTTATTTTCAATTGTGATAAATATTTAGCTCTTGTGTATGATAGTGTTCTCCTGCTAATTGCCACTTTCCAGCAATTTTACGCAAGTGTCACATGGGTGTAATCAGCTTGCTCGCTGAGATTTGGCTTGGCCATCCCACAGGGCGTATGCGTAATGTCCGCAACAGAGGCAAGTTTTTGGCCTGGGGTCAGAGACAGGGCGACAAAGCCAGAGCCAAGTTGCCGCCAAGTCAATGCCCGTAAGTCAGACACAGACACAGAAACAGAAACCGTAAACGAATCCAGAAACCAGAATCTATAACCGAATCTGAATCAACAGACAGTAGACGGCGCCAGCTCGAAATTCTGGCCAAAAAAGAATAACTTTGAGAGCAAAAACAAGTAGTGAAAAGTTGGGATGGCAAAGAGGATGGCGAGAAATAAATGCGTAGTCATCTGTGCGTCTAACTGGAGCCGGCATAAGTCAGTGTCCTAACCCACGGATCCTGGGAGATGTCCTAACGAGATATTACGTATACGCCACCGGGTTGAATGGTGACTTTGTTAATTGCCCTAGGTCAGCAGAAATCTCTGAACTGAAGGATCTTTGACAGCTGTGTTATTCCTACCTATTTATGACCGAAAGTTTGACTTTGGTTTTCTTTCCGTCATATATACTTACCGCCTTTATGTAATGCCTTGGTTTCTTTTTCGGGGCCTGGAATGGGTGAATCGGGTGTGGAATTGCTTTAATGTGGCTTGCGTGTCGGCTGTGTGTGGACTGTGCCCTTTGTTGCTCTGCTTTCTTTTTTTTTCGCTGCTAAAAAGGAATTTATGTCAATGCCAGAAGCGACAAACAACAAACAGCTCGGCGAAATAGCAACAAGAGAACAATAACAGAAAGCGAATATTATAATGGAATAAAGTGGAAAAGGGCGGTGTGGGCGGTGGAAATCGGGAGTACTGGGTACTGGGTACTGAGTACTGACTTGGCCCCAAAACATTACTCTGCAGTTTCAGTTAATTGGCAAGGCACACACACACTTACACACTGGCACACGCACACACACATCCGCTTGTTTCCGATGCCTATCCCCCTTTTCAGTGGCCAACACGTGGGCGACAAAAAAAAGGCAAGCACTGGCAGAAAAATCACACCAATTTGAATTTATTAAGGGAATATGTTTATTTCGAAGCAAACAACTAACGGCCTTGAATTGTCCAAATTACGATTCAAAAACCACAAAAGAAAAATGACTATTTTCGTCGAAAATTTAAATCCATATTTTCCACCCTAAAACATCAGTTTTTTGGCCGTAACAATGGGAATAATCATCCAAATATGGAAAGTCGTACCTCGTTGAGCTCGTTATTTCATTCCTAATCGATTGGCATTCAAATCTAGAAATTTTTAAATTTTATCATTTTTTGCAAAAAATTGTGATGTTACCCCTTATCAAAAATGCGAAAATTGATCAAAAAATAAATTTTCCCGAAAGTGATGGGGATTGTTAGCTTAGGTTATTAGCTGCTCAAAACAGTTATTCCTTTAGCTGTGGGCCTTGATTTGACAAAACTACAACCGAAAAACCACAAAAAATGTTATTTTTGTCGAAAATTCGAATACATTTTTTTCACCCTAAAATAGCAGTATTTTTGCCATAACAATAGAAATATTGATCCAAATATCAAAAATGCGAAAATTGATCAAAAAATAAATTTTCCAGAAAGTGATGGGAATCGTTAGTTTAGGTCATTAGCTGCTCGACACAGTCGGTCTTTTAACTGTGGGCCTTGAATTGTCCAAATTACTACCGAAAAACCACAAAAAAAGGTTATTTTGGTCTAAAATATCCCAATGTTTAAAATACTTCTTGCAGTGTAGCGACTGAGGACTTTAGGTGTGGGCAGAGTGAGAGCGAGAACACGCGACGCCAGCGCTGCGACATGTAGCCGCCATTTAAATTGCCCGGCAAGGCGACCTCGCCAGCCCACCACCCACTGGCTGCCACCCACCACCCACCGCCCACTGCTCCCCCTCGCCGCCCCTCTCTGCGTCTACCCCAAATGTGGGAACAGACCCGGAATGAGACATGTTGCCCTTGATTTGTGTGCACGGCATGTGGCGGCGTGTTGACTATTTGCATTGCATGTCCCCACACACACATGCGACTTTCTTTCTCCCTTGGTGTGTGTACGAGTGTGTGTGTGGGTGCGAAAGTGTGTGTGCGTGTGTGTCCAATAATTTCGTAACATGGCCTTTGTGGCGATCTTTGCACAGCGATAAGAGAACTGGGAGGAGAACTCATTGAATTGGCCACTCGCAACTTATATTTTTTCCCCTTTTCTCCCTTTTTCCCCCTTTTTTTGTTTTTGGGCCAAGTGTAAAGGCCTTTGGCGAGGACAAAACAATATCATTTGGCCCACTGCAATTGGACATATTGTGCGGGTCCAATGCCAAGTGATTTGCATTTTTATTTGTAACTTCTTGTGCCTGCGCCTAATGATGGGGTAATTATTAATTATTCGATGCCAGTAATGCCCTTTTGTGCCGAATAACTCTCTCTGGCGATTCGAAAGCAATTGAATGGGCGCCCAGAAGTATGCAATTAAATTGTATTTACCGGCGGGTATTATTATTATTTTCTCATGGCGTTGGCCTATATTCGTTAATATTCGTTAGGAGGTCAAACTGAACACAGACATAAATTTCATTGGGTTTTTAGCTTCCAATTTTGCGGTTTTTCTTTATACTATTTTTGTATAATAGCTAAACAAATGTTGTATTTATTTATTATATTTTTATAATAGTAACAAATACTTTAGGTATTTTTAGTAAATATGCAAAGATTTTGTTGCTAATTAAAAATGATAAGTTCTAGACAATATTGTAAAAACTATAAGTAGGTGTAGGTTGTTAACTTTGTGCAGGCCTTTAAAATATTTTTTTGTCTGTTATTTCTGTGCTCCGTAATTATTAAATTAAGGTATTTAGTTAAACAAATACCTCACTAAAATAGCTAAATATATAAAAGTGTAAAAATGGCAAGCCAAATAAGCTAGGTAAACTAAAATCCCTTTTTTAATCATTTTAAAGTATTTCACAATTAGAAAACTTTTCCCTTTTTCTTCAATTATACTGATTGCCTCTGCCAAGTGTTTACCATCTGGCTTAGCTTAGCTTCTTGGCTGCGGAAATTAATTCAAATTTGCAGCGCCTTTTGCCTTTTGGCGAAATGAAAGCGTTTCCTTGGAACGCCGAGAAGTAGGCTACGAAAAAGATGGCCAGGGGTGAAATGCAGCAAGAGCCGCGTCTCGTCTCGTCTCGCACACAACTTTACCGCAAGGGCCGCCAATTAGTGGAGGCAACAGTGGCAAACACCCACCCACCCACTTACCCCCCCTACTCTTTGCGGCAGCGACCTTGAACTCGCCGGCAAATCGAAGCACGAAACGAACACAAAGCGAATGAAAGTAAAAGTTGCACGTGCTTCGTCTTCTGCGGCTTCGCTTTTCCAGCTTTTCCTACTTGCGGCAGCTGCATGCATAATGTGAAAAGCCACCTTGCACCACTGCCACCCACTTTGCCACTTCGCGAAGGTCGAAGCCACTGCAGGCTAGGTGGCTAAAAGAAATCCATTAGGCCCTGTTGATGAACCCCCTTCCCACTCAACCCCAATCGCTGACGTCACCGAAAGTCGCAGACCCCCACTTTCTCACTTTCTACCACCTTTCCCGTCACACAGAAAAAAAATTGAGATTAATTTAATATTTTTTTAAGATTAATTCTTATAATTTTGATATTAATTAAGATTATATTCATATCATTTTACAAATATTTGTTCTAAAAAAACCCATTTCGTATTTTTTAAACAGTACTTTTATAACTTTTATGAAATGATAAAATATCAAATTGATATGTTTGAATCGTAAATTTGACATTAATCGGCTTTTTATTGATATGAAATAAAAGTAGAATTGATCCTATTTCATATCGAATTTTCTTTCTGTGCACCTCAACTTTCTCTCACCTGAGCCCTTTGTCTTTGTCTCTGCACTTTGGCCTGCATTTACTTATTTATTGAGCGCTGCGACAAAAATTCGCAAGAAATATATACTATAGGATATAGGATATAGCATATAGGATATAGAAAAGGGGGCGGGTCAAAGTGACGACGTCAGCAGCAGAGTCAGATTTATTTCGCGACAGTTTGTCGTTCATCTTTTTTTACGACCGCCGCCGACTTTCAGATTCAGATTGCTGTTGTCATTTATTTGCCGTCATAAACTTTCAATGGAATCACGCAAGCGATTTTAGCCAACTTTTCTCATACTTACGAGTGTATCCTTCGTATCCTTCGCTTTCGCCACCGCCGCCTGCTGCTTTCTTTTCTTTTCCTTTATTTTCATTTCTATTTTTATTGTTATTGTTATTCTTCCGCATATATGACAACATGTGACATGTGACAGCGGGCTTATTTCCATTTCTTCTGCCATTTCTCCACTTTTTCCCCTTTTTTTTTTCTTAAAGCGAGAGGGTCGCATTCAACCCAGTTTCTTCATTAATTTTGCCACCCGAAGCTGACTTTAAATTTCTGTGTGATGTTTTGCATGTTTGACACCAAAAAGAAAAAAAATGGGA